ATTCTGGTGACACGTATCATTGATCCCATTAAAAAATCAACTTTGGAGAACCCATTACTGAAAATAAATATCTTTTTATTACTAATACTTTCATCCAAAAAAAAGTTTTTCACAAACCAGTTCTCCAAAAATTCTATTGCACAAAAATAATTTCCTGCAATTATAAGCAAAAACTTTGACAAATAAATTCCTGGTTACCTGTTGATAGGTTTAGATACACTGATCAAAGAAACTGTTTTTGATAATTTATATAGAATCTGATTGAACTTCCATTTCTTCTCCTTCAAAAACTGCTTGTTTTTGGTTAAGAAATATAGTCTAATTGTTTAAAGACACAACTTTTATAATCAAAAATTTTTATTCTGATGCATAAAACTTCCGTTGTTACCACTTAACATTTCTTTAAATCTGTAATTCTCAAATCTTGAACAAATCAAAAAAAAAAAAATTTGAATTAACTGTTCTCCAACAACAAACGAATAACTTAATCTACGGCACACAATTAGAACAAACTTATTGCAGTCTTTAGGTTAACAAACTTCTAAAACTTCTGTTCATCAACGTTTCTTCAAATCAGTAACCTTTTTATTCCAATATTTGTTTTTCTAATCGCCTTGAGTTTAGCTACGACAACAGAAAAAAAAGAAAAAAAAAACAGGTAAAATATATTTTTTAAAATAAAACAAAATTTTGGTTTAAGTGAAGAAAAAATTTTCTACAACACTATTTCATCGACAATCTTTTTCTTCATTTATGGCGCTTAAAATATTACAGTCTTTTGAATTCACAAAAAATATGTCAGTGAATCGTAATCCGAAGGTGCACCACTAAAGAAAAAGTGACCAAATGTGTGGCCCATGACAAGTCCGGCTAACACATAGTAATTATAAGTTGCTAATGATAGTACGAACAAACAAGCCAACATTATTTGAAAGGCATATAAGAGCATAAAAGTTAATCGTGGTGTTGAACAAAGCGAGTCACGAAGGCTGAAAGAATACACCTAAATAATTTGAAGATTCCAATAAAACTGATAATTTACACTAAAAATTTGACATAATCCCACAGTTATGCAAACGTTTTCTTTGCCAAAACAAAAAATTTGAACTCGTAAAACTCGAAAAAGAAAAAAGACTACTCTAAAACAAACAGGTATCAAACACGCACTCATCAGATTCTTCGCCCACGTCACACCAGTAAACATTCAGCATTGCCGCTTTGTAAGTTGTTCTTTCATAAGCCTGAGCACGAGCCAAGAATGCTTGGAGCTCTAAAGAACCACACGAGTTTGGTTGACAAAATCGGGTACTTTTTGACCAAAGTATGTTTGATACAATTCACTGTAATCGCTAAGTAACAATTTGAACTTTAATATTTGGCCAAAATTGAAGAAGATATTACTAAAGCAGCGTTTTGTCAAAAAACCTCATTAAATGAAAAAATTTAAAAACATGAGATTCTACCTTTTACCGCTTCAAAGAGAACAGCCGATATGAGTACAATCAGGAAGACTATTACCGACGCTGAATGAACAATGCAGAATCAAACTTGTTAAGATGTAAAGACACTAGCAGTAAATATGCTCTCATAAAAACTATTTTTTTTTAAATCTAATTTCCTGTGATCTATATTTACTGAGAGACAAATTTTTGCTAGTATTGTCTCAGTAAGTTTTCTTACCGTTATAAATCGTTTGTATAATGAACAACTCACTAATTTCTCATTAACAATAAGTCCTATGAAAATCTTACACCGCTAACCAGAATCGTAAATCATCCAATCTCGAAAAATGAAAAAGTCTGGAAATTCTTCTGTCGGAGTATGAAGAACCATACGTTGTCCACGACACGAGTGTATCAATTTGGTATAATTAGCCAAAGCTTTCTCATATTCCTTTTGCTTTCTTTGTCCTGGCATAAACAACAGAGCCGTCTGACCGACAATCGATTCTTCTCCACTAAATAAAGATTGCTAAAACAGCTATAAATTCACAGTGTAAACAAAAAAAAACAAATGTTCCTAGACATTCACTTTCAACTGTTTCTTGGGTAAAAGCTGAAGAATACTGATGACAGAGTTTATTCATAATTCGTCATCCAACAAAATACGCAAATCCTCCTTAAAACATTTTCCTTCCTTTCACTGACACAAGTCCTTAATTACTCGTAAGAGCTTTCGTTTGGCAAAATAAAAGTAGTCAATAGTATTCTAAAAACAAACACTTTTTTTTTCATCACAACCGCTTTTTAGTGATCAAGCTTGAAGTACAACTCCGCATCATCATCATCACCGAAGAAAAACTAAACAAGAAAACGAGATAAATTTTGAACCGGATCATACAGTGGTCAATTTTAAGGTTGAAAAATGAGACTAATTTTCTACTGTTGCACTAAGCAGCACGTTTTTTCATCTAGATCAGTGTCAAATTCTGCTGATAAACTTCCAGATTAGCGTCACAGGCAATGTGTGAGTACGACAAAAGGTTTCTCCTTGAGACGTGCTAATACATTTTTGACAATACAGGAACTATCCTTTACAAATCGCCTCAAAGAACACGAGGTCTCACTGGTAGGCTATTCAGGCAACAACCAGCTTTTTGTTCAGAACCTGAGCAACTCACACCATAATAATTTTTTAGTTAGGTAACTGAATGGAAAAGCAGTCATCAAAGTTTCCACATGACCAGCTTCACTTTTTAAAGTTTCTATATCAAGAAAGTAAAATTTTCATAAAAACAAGTAAGTGTTATCTGTAGCTGACCATCTATTCTTGACTTTTTAGGGTTTTATAAAAAAGTTTTTCAATTTCACTAAATAAGGTTAAAAGACATCTCGCTAAACAGGTATCACATATTGTGCGTCAAAGAACCTTTACCTCAGTGTACTAGAAAGTAAAAAATTTATTCTTTGCAAAACAATTCGTACTTTTTTTTATATGTTATCTGAAAGAACTATTTCCTTTTTGAATGGTATAAACAAAACAAAGTCGAAGAATTATGTCTTCCAATAAAGGCCATAACTGTAGGTTCAACAGCAGGTCTTCTAGAACTTGAGCTATAAAATTTGCAGCTTATCAATTCATACAGTCGCATCATCAACTTCTCAGCATTTTAGAGGGGCACGTAAGTGTGAAACGATGAAGAACTGTTGAGCCTTTTGGTTAGTTGCCCCACCAAACGACAAGCAACCGTAGTCAGAATTGTTCTCAATCACACCAATAATAGTTAATGAACTAAAATACCAGATGTTGGGCAAAAAATTTTTTTTGGTTAGTTTGAAAATCCTGTAACCGTTGAACACATTTTGAAAATCTTTTCATTAAATATTCTTGCGTTTCTCCGCTTGTCCACTAACTCTACTCTGTAAGAATTTATTGAAGATTACTTTTTTTCGCAGTTGTATGAAGCAAGTATTATTAATCTCTTACTTAACAGAATCCTGCACATCTTTTATTTAACTGACGTCATCAGAAATTTGAAGATGATGAATGAAGAAGAATGTAATGTTGGCACCAATGAAACTTTTAAAGTATAATTAAAAGTGATAATTTAATGATCCTCCTAAGTTTAGCCAGATTTAGAAACTCACTCAGCAAGGTTGATCACTCCAGCACTATCCAATCCACTAACCACCGCGGAAATAATTTCTAAACC